AATAATCAAAATAGTAGATTCAATAGTAGATAGACTACCATAACAGTAGATTCAATAGTTACACATACCATATTACATTCTGCTTTTACTTCTAACATAGAAAACAGTCTTCCTGCCCTGGCCAGTTTGGCTCAGCGGTTCAAGTGTCGGCCTGCGGTACAGAGAGACCCGGGTTCGGTTCCCGCTGAGGGCACGTACTTCGGTTGCAGTTTGTCCCCGGCCCTGGTTGGTCGTGCGGGTGGCAGCCACTCAATGTGTCCCTTCACGTCGATGTTTCTCTCTCTCTCTCCCTTCCTCTCTCTCCCTCCCACTCTATCTGTACAAAAAAAAAAAAAAAGAAAACAGTCTTCCTTGTTAAATGGTTTTGATTTTTATCATTTTTAATAGATATATAATAGTCTTTCCACTGAGATACTAGATGATGATTTACTTATGCACTGACTTCCATTAGAGAGCCCATTCTTCTTTGTGTCTTTCACTGCATCAAGTACTGTAAACTGCAAAATAAACCCTTAAGAAAAGCCTAATGAAGTAAATATATATAGTCCATGCTTACTAACACCTGCGATAACCCATTTCCCTGTTTTTCTCTCGAGCTAAATTTCTAATGTAATTTCTGATTTCACCACCTTAGGCGAGGCAGACAGCAAAAGTATTTTCCCAAACAATTTTTATATAGATTTATTAAATTTTGGTAGTTGATTTTATATATATTTAAACACGGAAGCCCCTTGAGGAAATGTAATAATATCCCATAATACCTAATATAAGCTAGACATCTGGCAGGCACTCAACAAATATCAAATATTTTTTAAACCACCTAAAGTTATAAAACATCAAATTCCTGAACAGAAGAGTGTCACTGTTCTAGCTAGTACCATCAATTATACTTGTAAAACTCTCAGTTCATTTAATAATTAGATTGGTTAATAATGTATGAATGGGTGTTCTTTACACCCAGAGAAGAACACAACCAGAGTTACCTGGTGAGTTGTGCAGTCTGAAAGATAACATAAAGGACAAATAATATTTGCAAATAGAACTAACTTTAAGAGCTCATAACAAAACAAGTTTACCGTTTTGCCTTTAGCTTAAGTTCATATTTCAAATGAACAAAAGCAAAATTAAAACTATGTAAAATTACATATGCATGTGAACACAAAGCACAGAATGGAAATAAGAAAATGCAAATATGAATTGTCAAGATGGAAGGATTGTCAGAGACTTTCCTTTTCATATTCCAGACAAAAGCATATTCATTAGCCATTACAACTCCTGCTACTTAATTTAGTGAAAATGACTGAAACACTCTTACTTCCACAATAAATGTGAAATAATAAACCAACTAACTACCTTAACACCTAAACACAGTCAGATACTGAATATGTGAAGAACTTAACAGTACACTAAAAGCTCCTTGCAAATTTCAGATTTTCCTTAAACAGTAGCTAACTCGATTCCAAATATCAAAGTCTGTACAGTACAACTACATCATTCCAGTAACCCATTCTCATCTTATTTGTGGAGAGTCATTTCTTTTTTTGTTTGTTTGTTTGTTATGAATTTTTTATTTATTTTTTTGTTACAGATATTTTACCTTTTTACCCCATTGGCACCCCCCACCCCACCCCACCTCCGCCCCGTCCCCGGCTTAGTTGTCCATGTCCATTGGTCATGCATACATGCATATAAGTTCTGTGGTTTATCTCTTCCCACCCCCCGAGAGTCATTTCTGAGGTTGATTCCTGCACTGATATATTCAGAGAGAAACAATTATGACTAAAAGTTTACTATTTGTCATAATTATATACTATTACTTAATACATTAATTTTCTAAAAAGTAATTATTGGTTAAAGCAATATGATTCTTTTCAAAATTACTGGAAAGGAATTTGGTTTTGTTTTAGCCTTTTTTGTTGTTGTTGTTTTCTTTTGTTGTTGTTAATCCTCACCAGAGGTTTTTTCCCCATTGATTCTTAGAGAGTGGAAGGGAGGGAGGGAGGTAGAGAGGGGGCGAGGACAGAGAGAGAGAAAAACATCTATGTGAGAGAGACACATTGATTGGTTGCCTCCCACATGTGCTTCAACTGCAGGCGATATCAAACCTACAACCCAGGCACATGCCCTTGACTGAAAATCGAACCCAAAACCCTTCAGTCTGTGGGACGACACTCTAACCACTGAGTCAAACTGGCCAGGGCTTTGTTTTAGCCTTTTAAAACAAACTCTAAAAAGGAGAATCATCTGTAACAAAAATTAATCAATCAATCAATCAATCAATCAATCAATGAAAATAAAACTCTAGACAGATGTTTAAATATCACTGGCTTTAGAATTTTACTACATTGCATTCCATAAAACCTCTAGATTTATGTAAACGACTATATAGTGACAAAATAGAAATAGAACCAATTTTAATTACCTGTGGTAATCACTGAAAAAGAGAAGACTATTTGCTTTCAGGAAATATAAGGCTATGTGAGAGATGGCACTGAATGTATAAGGCAGTTTACCAAAAATAATGCACTTCTATTTACAGGGTGATGGATCTATGTAAAAACCTTAATTTGAAAATGAGTTCCACCCAGCCGGTATGGCTCAGTGGTTGAGTGTTGACCCATGCACCAAGAGGTCACTGGTTCGATTCCTGGTCAGAGCACAGGCCCAGGTTGTGGGCCCCATCCCCAGTGGGGGCATACAGAAGGCAGCCAATCGATGCTCTCTCTCATCGATGTTCTCTCTCATCGATGCTTCTCTCTGCCCTTCTCCCTTCCCCTCTCTAAAATCAATAAGGAAAAAATATAAAAAATAAATAAATAAAATCTAACATTCAAAGGAAAAGCTAACATCCATTCCATAGCTAAAATTAGTATTCTATGCATCCCTCTGATACTGATAATTATTATAATCTAACTAATGATAATTTATAAGTAAAAAAAATATATTACCTCCCCTCAAAAACTGAAACCCATAGGGGTAGGAGAAGAAGGAAGGATTCTATCTGAGACAGGTCTTTTGTGGTGGTTGGTTAACTGCCTCTTTTTAGCACTGACATTTCCAATTTTTTTACGAAAAAGAAATTTTAAGAATGTGCTAAAATCAACCTTTCAGAATCAAATCCCTGATCAGTTGTGTTTTATGTGGCTTGGTTTTTAAGTTTTTCCTATTCACTGTGATGGTAATAAACTTAAGGTAAATTTAAATAAAGATGCCTGAACACTTAAGTACAGAAGCTTTTGAAAACTTGCAGAGTTCCTCTAAGTTCTTTCATTTTGTCAGAGCATGGAACTAGTGAGGTCAAGACTAAACTAGTTTAAGTTCCTAGGGGAAAATTCTTTTGTCACCTGACAGCCTGAAGCTGACCTAGCAGGGACAAAAGGAATCACCAATTCCAACTGAAGATATAACTCCAAGAGGAGAGATAAACCAACTCCCAAGAGAAGGGCAAACCAACAAAGTATATATTAAGTGATTGATCTGTGTATCTTACTATACACAAAAGACAGCAAAGAAAAGGAACATTGGAAAACAACTCATGATTTCTACATAGACTCAAACAACACTTGATTATTAACAAAGAAGTGGCAAGCATGACTTAGAACAGCGATTTTCAACCTTTTTGTCTCATGACACACACAAACTAATTACTAGAATTCTTCGACACACCAAAAATGTATTATATTTTTTGCTGATCTGACAAAAAAATAGGTATAATTTTCATTCAGTCACACCAGACGGCTACTGTGCTGGCTGTTGTCATTTTTTTATCTGACAATCTAAGGGAAAAGAGGTCAGTGCCCCTGACTAAGCAGTCAGGTACTGCATGTCTTAAAAATTCTTGCAGCACACTGGTTGAAAGTCGCTGACTTAGAACATAACTCTGGTATATACAAATGATTCTGATTAGTTAAGAGTCTTTTAAAACGTCATCTCCTGGGATTATAATAATGACTCCCCATAATACAACCTTACACAGAAAGTGTGTTCAGATATACTATCTCATTTAAAGTAACCTGCCCAGTCACACTGCTAGTTAAGTATTAAAGCCAAGACCCGGCCAACCTTCTCTTCAGGCTTAGAGCTGGGGTTCTTTCCACTCCATCTGACTGTCTAAACTTTAGATTCCCTTTCAAAAAGAATTTAAAATGTACTTGGTTTATCTGCTTTCTCTGCCCTCCCTGAAGAATAGAGAGAATGTCTGAAAGATACAATTTCACAAGAATCTTGGCACTTAAAACTATTTATTGTTGAGAGATGAGCAATATGACTTTAAGCAAAAACAAAACTTCCCCAACAGTCAAAAATGTGGGATCAGGGAGCCATTCTCTTTTACCCAACTTCAATCACAGTATTTTCAACTCTTTATGACCGTCCAGGTTCAAGGAATATAGTGAAACAGCACGATGAGCAATGTTTGCACTTGAGTGCTTTCTCAGGAAGACTAAACCACATTCCCTGCCATTTTTCCTGCCGCGAGTCACCAAAGTGCAGGGTTAGGGCGACTGGGCCGGTGACGTGGGGCTTCGGGTCCCTGGCGGTCCCGCCAGGCCGAAGGGGTGCGGACCCAAGGGGCGGGGGCCGCACTGACAGCTGGCGAGGAGACACAGGGACCCGGCGAGGCAAGGGCCGAGGGCATGGGTGGGGGGAAGGAGGAAGAGAACCCGGGGCGAGAGACTAGGGCGCCCTCCTGGAAGGGCAGGGGGGAAGCGAGAGGGCGAGAGGGCGAAAGGGCGGCGGGGCGGGCGCACCAGCGGAAGGGGCAGCGGACCGGGACGTGGGGCCCGCGGCGCCCCGGGACGCGGTGCAGACGAGGGGAGGGGCGTCCCGCACAGGCGGGGCGGGCGTGGGGAACAAGGTTTCGGGGTGCGCGGACAGCCCTCCAGCCCGGATGCGGACTCCAGGGGCGGGGCGGCCAGACCCCACACGGTGGCCGCCGCGAAGGGGCGCACCAGGCACCTGCCGCCTCCGCTGCGGCGGCCCCGGGCGGGCTCGGTTCTCACCTCTTCGGTTCATGGGTCGGATCCGGACGGCCACTTTCACTTTGGAGTCTCCCATCCTGCCGCCGCCGCCGCCGCCGAGACTCTCGCTCGGCTTCCGTCTACCGTGGCCACCGGGCAACTCTTCGGGGCTGACCGGGCGGTCGGGGGCTGCGGCAGGAGGGGCGGGTCCCGGGGCGGGTCCTGCCGAGGGGCGGGGCGGGCCGCTGGGCTCTCGGCGCGCCCCCGCTGCATGACGGGATTTGTAGTCCCTGAAGGTGGTCGTGGGCAGGGCGACGGTGGAGGGGTTCTGCTGGGAGAACTCCGTAGGCTCCCAAGAGACCTTGTAAACGCGCGGCTGCTTCTGCACCATTCTCAGTCATAAGCTGTCGGTGAGCTGATACCTCACCTGAGAACAAACAGTTAAATAATTGGCATTGGAGACCCTGCATCCTCTTCAGACTCATTACCTGACAATTATTTCCTCTGCCTAGATTGCCCTCCTCCGGACCTTGTTTACCGAAATCATACTTCAAGACCAGTCAAAAGTTATCTCCTCTGAAAATCTTTATAGTAGATAGTATAGTATATACCACTCTGCCCCTCTCCCCTTCTAGACCTTGGTTTCTGAAACCAAATCCAATATCCAGCTCTGTGACTTCAACAGGTGATTTGACTGATCTGTGCTGCTTGTTTCATATGTAAAATGAAGACAAGAGGAGGTTGTGAGGTTCCTGCACAAAGGAAGTGCACAATAAATGTTAGTCGTTTTTTCTGTTATAGCATTTATGCTGCAACTATTTATGTCTCTCCTATGTGTATTTCTTCTTTTTTAAAAAGTATTTTTTATTTATTTATTTTAATCCTCACCAAGGATATTTTTCTATTTACCTTCATATAGAGTGGGAGGGAGAGAAAGGGAGAGAGAGAAACATCAACCCAGAGCAAGGCTGGGGACGAACCATAACTGAGGTACATGGCCTTGGCCAGAATCAAACCTGCAACTCAGTGGTCCACAGGCCAACACTCTACCTCTGAGCCAAACCAGCCAGGGGTCTCTTATGTGTGTTTCTTAAACCATATCTTACTTTTATATGTGTAGCCTAGCCTGCAGTAGAAATCCAGGAAATGTTTTTGGTTTTTGTTTTTGTTTTTTTTTCATTGATTCTAGAGAGAGAGGAAGGAAGAGAGAGAAACATTAATTGGTTATCTCCCTGATGCGCCCTTACCAGGGATCCAACCCAAACCCTGGCTGTGTGCTCTTACCAGGAATCAAACCTACGACCCTTCCATGCATGAGTCCACGCTCTAAACAACTGAGCCACACCAGCCAGGGCAGGAATATATTTATTGCATCAGTGAATAAATGAGGCCACACTAAAATTAGGTTTTTTTAATTAATTTTTTTTTTTGAGAGAGAAAAACATTGAATTGTTCCTCTTATTTACTTATTGGTTAATTCTTGTGTGTGCCCTGACTGGGATTGAACTTGCAACTCTGGTATATCCTGACTCTCTAACCAACTGAGTGACCTGACCAGGGCTCAAATTAGTTTTTTTTTTTAACCCTCAACCTACGATATGTTTATTGGTGTGTGTGTGTGTGTGTGTGTGTGCGCGCGCGCGCGTGTATGTGCAGAAACCCCGGAGAAAAAGAGAGGGTACAGATTTTCAGTTAGGCAAGTTGAAAAAGTACTGGAGCTGGACGGTAGTGATAAGTAGTGAAGATTGCACAACAATGTGATGTGCTTAATGCCACTGAACTGTACACCCCAAAATGATTAAAATGGTAATGTATATCATGTACATTTTCCCCCAATTTAAAAAGGTTAAATATGGAATCATTATGTTGTACACCTAAAATAAAACGAATATGTTGTATGTCAATTATATCTCAATTTTTTTTAAAAGGTTAAACAGAAAATGCTACCCCAGCAGGCCCTCTTTGAAAGAAGGGAATTTCTTCTCAGAGGTGCTTCCTCTGAGGTTTTAGATTCACACTCATCTCTCTCTTTTACCTTCTCAGCCTGATTGGCAGTAGGTTTTAGTATATTAAGTCTTAAGACTTTTCATAGCCCAGCAGAGTAAACAAATAAAATAAGGAGAACCAACTAAGAACTGCTTTTTAATTTTACCAAGTAAAGTCTTTAAATATGCACACAACAGTCCTGGCAGGTTTGGCTCAGAGGTTAGAGCATCAGCTCATGGACCAATGAGTCTCAGGTTCGACTCCGGTCAAGGGCACATACCTTGGTTGCGATTTGTCCCCGGCCTTGGTTGGGTGGTGCGGGAGGCAGCCACTCGATGTGTCCCTTTCACATCAATATTTGTCTCTCTCTCTCTCTCTCTCTCTCTCCCTCCCTCTCTCTCCCTCCCACTCTATCTGATCAAAAATGGAAAAATATCCTTGAGTGAGGATAATAAATAAGTATGTACACAACAATTGATATCTACTATCGCCATCATTCTTTTCTTTTAAAGAAAGGTCACAGAGGATATGTTTTTTATTGAAGTCATTTGTTTGATGATCACTACTATCCTTTTGCTCTTATTTAGCATTGAAAAAAATAGCTGTTAATGCCCTGGCTGGTTTGGCTCAGCGGTTGAAACATCAGCCTGCGGACCAGAGAGTTCCAGATTCAGTTCCCACTAGGCCCTAGCAGCTAAGGACACGTACCAAAAAAGAAAATAGCTTTTATTTTATTTTTTATCCTTTATTGATTTGAGAGAGAGAGAAAGGGAGAGAGAGAGAGAAACATCAATGAGAGAGAGGACCAGAGAGTTCCAGGTTCAGTTCCCACTAGGCCCTAGAGGCTAAGGACACGTACCAAAAAAAAAAAGAAAATAGCTTTTATTTTATTTTTTATCCTTTATTGATTTTAGAAGGAGAGAAAGGGAGAGAGAGATAGAAACATCAATGAGAGAGAATGTCGATTGTCTGCCTCCTGTCTGCCCCCCACTAGGGATCAGGCCCACAACCTGGGCATGTGTCCTGACTGGGAATCGAACCGGCAACCTCCTGGTGCATGGGTCCACGCTCAACCACTGAGCCACACTGGGGAGGCTTGAATGTAGTGTTTGAACAGAAGCAAGGCAGGCAGAAAAAGAGAAACTACACAGTTTCTATGGGAACAATATATTTAAATTTAAGCTCAAATTTCAGAGGGGAAAGCCCCTGAGGAGTTGAAGGAGGGGGCATAGCTAGGGAAGAGGTGAGGAAGTTCAAAAGCCAGTTAAATACTCCTGGAAACATTTGATTGGAAGAAAATTATAGTAGCTTCCCAAGGGACTCTCGAGAAAAACCCCTGTGGGCTAGCCTCCCTTTTGACTTCTATTCACACTAATCTCTCTCTTTTGATTTCTGCAATAAAGGTGAGGAGACACGATTCTGAGAGAATCCTGAGAGAGAAAGGACTGAGATACGAGTTACAACCTGCAGCCCAGGAGCTTGGGGACTTTCACACCAGATAACTGGAAAGCTTCCCAGTCACCAGGCTGGGGGTGTTGGCCCAGGCTCCAAAAGGAGAAAGGGAAAGTCTTGGTTTCTTTCTTTGCAACTGTTAAAGAAAGAAGAGAAAAAGAACTAGTAAATGAGCCACTCCCTTGGATCTTTGTTTTGTAAAGCAAGTACTTAAGATATCAACCAATATTTATGGTGTAGATGCTACATTAAGACGCTGTAGGTCTGTTTAAGTTTCTTGTGTTTATTTGTTTTGGTATTTTGCAAATTTACTTATTCTATAACTGATTTCTAGTTTACTTTTTATTGCTTTGATCCACCCTTCATCAGTTTCTTATGAAGGAAGGTTCCTACACAGGCTGAGGAAGATATTTTACCCTTTTTTTCATAAGATCATCAACAGAATCATGATAACTAACATATACTGAACACTCAGTGTGCCAGACACTGTCCTAAGCATTTTCCATGAATTTACACACTTAATCCTCACACTAATGCTATGAAGTGGTTACTGTTATTACCCCTATAATACAGATAGAGAAACTGAGGACCTGAGCAACTTACTGAAGTGTCACTGTGGGGCTACTTTGATCTGCCCCCCACTCCACAATCTTTCAAGATGGGAGGTGTCTACACACACATTCCACAGCCCGTAGTGTTATCAGAGAAAAACGTGCCTCATTTTCCCCATTGCTAGTGGGAGTGGGGTTCTTGGGCTACTACTGAAATAAGCATTTCTAGAGGCCCCCACAGGAGGATGAGATATGGGTAGAAAGTTTTATTTCTGTGGAATTGAAACTGGACAACAAATGGGTCCAGACTGTCTGTCACTGCTTGAGCCAATTAAGCAGAGACAAGGTTGAGTCCTATATGAGCGTTTATTCCAATATTGCCGCCAGTATGGAAGAGCAGCAGGTCATCCCTGAAAAATCTGCCCATCCCCATAAGTCAACTGCTTACACTAGGTAGAAGGACAAAGATCACGTGGAGAAGTAGGCAAAAGGAATAACCATGGGTGAACAGGTTACAGATTGTAGGCATGTGAACGTGGGCTGGGAGCTAGAAAGGGTTTTCTCTAGTGCACTGCCTCCAGGATTACAAGGTTCTTCGTCTTTCTGTGATAAGGGGGCAGTTCTTGGATAAGGGAAATGGGCTACATTTTGAGATTAACTCACAGGTCCCAGGGAATATAATTCCCAGCCAGGTCAAAATGTGCTTTCTTTAACCAGAACAAAGCAATCACAGTTAACAGAGCATGATTGGTATTCCTTATAACTATGGCTAGTACCCAACTATGATGAGTTCTCTATTATTCTATTATACTCTCTCACCTCTTTCAGAATTATACCCCTGGGTTTCCAAAAGCCCATTTGCCTTAGTCCAGTCATAGAAGTGTAGCTGGGGTTTCAGTAAAGCTAGAAGCAGAGCCAGTGTCCAGAGCTTTGTTTCCATGTTGGAGGTGGGTCCAGTTCAGCATCAGGCTAGTTACAGTCCATTAGTCCATTGTGTGTGGGGTCCACATCGCGGTGGGACATGTCGGCGAATGCAGGGAAGCAGGAGCAAAATAGACCCACAAGCCCAGAGTCACATGAGTCCCCAGAGAGCCAAGAGAACAAACTCCTTTATTTACAGGGTTATGTATCCCAAATCTTTGTGCCATTGCAGTGGCCACACCCATTCTGGCCAACCATCTCTGCCCCCAGGT